CTATCTAATAGTGGATGCGGTATGATGTTTTTGTACACTATTCTACACATAAGGATAATAATATCTGAGATCGTCGCCATTTTCGTTTCCAAACATACACTAATAATCTATACCAAGGAATTATTTAAATACAATGAACAGCAGACCTGAAAATATAACCAAATTTTAAGAGAGCAAATTGATGCTCTTAATTACTATTTTGAGAATGGCATGAAATCTTCTCTGTGTTTTGAGCTGATGAAAACAGCCGCCGAAGAAACAACGTTGTCTGTGCACAAGGTCAAGGTGAGAACGACCTCTTCTTTAGTCGTCCACCGTCTTTTAAAAAATTTTCTGTATGCAGTAAACCAACTACGAAACCAGCGCCATCAAATCAAAGCCATACGTATCTCAAACACATCCCTAAATTTGTATTTCTACTCCACAGTAATTTGTATGAAGTTCTACTTTAAGCTTTCCTTTTTCAAAAAGCACATTCTTATAATGTATTGTGATATACAATAGATATCCTTTATGTACAGAGTTATAGGCTGTGAAACACAGTAACTGGTGGACTTTATTGTAACACTTGATGTTATAATGTCAGTAAAATTTTTACAAAATTTGTTTCATACTGCATGTTTTGAAATTATTGAAAAGCTTCTTCACAACTGACATTATGCTTTTTTTAGAAATGGATTAGCAACAAAGTTGCTTCTGCCAAAAGAAAATGTCAATCTAATAATTTAGAGTCACACCTACCCTCATGTAATCCACCAAAGTCCCCAAACCACTACCCAGATTACGGGGGTCAAGCTGATATAATCTGTTTTGCTCAGAATTTTTTAAATCAGGTGAATGAAATATTAAAATCACTTTAGTATCATCAATAAGGGTTTAAGGAATGTTACCCATCAAGAATTTGCTATGATGAAAGCCTTGAAAAATTTATCCATATTGCAGATGAAGTAAAGGGGCTGTCTCACCTGAGTGAAAAAAATAAATTGGCTTCTGTCAAATGGTTTGGTCTTGGAGAATCTGAGCAAAATAAATACATACAGAAAGCTAATGACATGAAAAACAACCCAGTGACATTAGATGATACTCGAAGAACAAAATTGGTTGATCAGCATATGAAACTTTTAGCTGAGGAGTTAACAATCGTTTTATTTAATTAATTTTGCAATGAATAGCAGAGGTAGCATTAAGTAATTGGAATAAATTAGAATAGGCCATTGATTGGGGTGACTTTAGTCTTTTGAAATGTACATAATTCATGGTATTCTGATAAAGGAAGTTTATATTGCCTTAACATTGGATGCATTTCTAATAGTGTTATGTTGAGTAAAACTCTTTGTTTTGAGCATGTATTTTTTGTGCAAACATGGTTGCAGTGATTACCAGATAGAAAGTTATTTCTTATTGCAAACTTGTTTTTCTTTTGGCATGAAATTTGACTTGAACGTCATCTGGCATGAAAATTTTTTTGTATTCTTGTTGTGTAGAATGTATCAGTTGAACTGTTTCATAAGGCTATGAAAGAATTAATGAAGAAATTAATAATAATAAACTATATTTAATGGTAGTATGAAATTTAAAGTTTGTGTGAAATTTAGAATTTATACAGTTACTAAATGCTGTGAAAACTAATTGTAAAATTCTTTTGGTTCCAAGAAGATTAATCACTGAAGAGATGATTGTTGTTGCTGTTGTTGTTGATATTTTATGATAATAGTTATATGTCACTGCCTTAATCACAGATGTAATGCAGACATATATGTCATATAATTTGGGATATGTAGAATAGTGTTTGGACAACAAAAGATTCTGTTTAATTCTACATCAGTAATGATGATCATTACAATAGCATTGATGGTATAGCATTACATTTGTAGAAATAATAATTATCATAGCAATACCAACAACAACAGAAACTATGTATAGTAAATAGAAAATAATAGCAATAATATTAAAAACAAATGTCATCTCATGCCATTTGTTAAAGTCCATATTGCTGCAAACTATACATAGCTTTTCGCAGTACTTTTGCCTAATGTGATCATTATCAATGATTCCACGTTTCTTTTAGTTCAGTCACTTGGAGTATCTTGGTTGCCAGGCCAGCTGCTTACTGGTGAATGGAAAAAAGAGCTTCATGTCTTTAGTTTATCAGGAGGAAAAAGATATGTTTACAATGAACCAGCATTTTAGTGCAAGTTTCAAGCAATGCTTGGTAAAGAGCAAAAAATTTGCAAAGATCACAAATAAGTAATAGACATAAAGTTTAACTTCTATTGATATGTCAGCACCAGTTTCATGGATACCAGTTACTGGATAGTAGACAAGTAGATACATATCACTAAGTTTCAGAGCTTTACTATAATGTCGTGTTACGTGTGGTTGCAAAATGTTCATCCCATCTCAAAATAGCATATTTCTAACGGTAAATATTAAGATATTTTTTGGTATCCGATAAAGTGGTATGCGTATATAATATCATGAAACCATTTGTTACACTGTGTTTCACGCCTTTTGGCAATCACCAGGTGAATGACAGTTTAGTTGATGCTTTCATGATAGTATTTATTTTACTTTTATAAATTTATATTTTGCTCAATCTATAAAGATATTGAGCACGCTTTTATAACAAAAATTCACAAACTATAATTTTATATTGACAAGCCTGCTTCGTGATTTCTCACTCTTCATTAAATTCTCTAAAAACAGTTAAAAATCACGAAGCAATCTTTTTCGGATAAAATTGTAGTTTGTATAGCTAAAAAAAATTTGTATTCTATATCTGGTAGATGTAGACTGAGAAAAACAGAAATGGACTCATGAAGATGTAAGAATGCTCTTTAACAAGAAGTATAGTAAGTTAATTTTTTACTTATTCTTGTAGGCAGGTCTTCACCATTGAGAGTGACGTGACCATACAGGTGTATTTTTAACCACCACAGGCCTGGATAAAGTATTTCACTCTATGGCTACAAGTTTAAAGAAATATTTTTTGTATAAATTTTTCATTAAATACTTTTGAAAACAGTATAATGTTGTTAATAATAGTTATGTACAAAGGTTGCCTGTATATTCCTGAATGGTAGTGTTTACCTTACAGTGATAGTTTAATTTTACCTTTTGATAAACCTGCATAAATAAATGTTCTCTGTTTTTTAATAAAAAGTATATGGAAGATACAAAATTTTGTCCTGTGAGTAATTTTGTAAAAAATTACCCTTTTTACAGTCATGTTGTCAAGTCATTGTGAATGTTAGTTCTTGTCAGTGAGCATTTTTCTTAAAGGTGAAGCAAAAGGTGTAACTTTTTCTCGCGTTCCATATCTTTCTGGTAGTTTTCATGTTGAAGGACTACCAGATAACATACGCCTAAAGAAGCAACGACAATATGGCTCAAAGGAAATACAGAAAATCATGGACTGCCAGGACAATATTTCCTTCATTCTTGAAACGTCAGATTGTGCACCTTTGCAAGATTTTGGTGAAGACTGCAAGGAATTGCTTAGTGATGTATTTGGAAAATGTGACTTTAAAGTATCAAAAGAAGATGTGGAGGTATTGGATATTGATGAGACAAATAGCATTTCTGAAATCGAAGAAATAATATCAACACACTGAAAAGTGTTATGTCCAGAAGCTTTGACATAGTTAAAAAATAAATTGAATGCATATGTGTCTCAGGCAAATCATTTCGTTTTGCCTGTGTACTGTGATGATGAGGAAAGTCAGTTCTGACTTTTTTCATCTACAGAATCTCTACAAGCTCTGCAGCAGATAAGTGCAAGAGGTAAATTGACAAGATGTTGGCTAAATCATGAGTCAAGCAATACCTTCCATCTTATTAAAAAAAAGGAAACAATCTTTGGAAAAAACATTATTAAGGACAATGGCAATGTAATTTTTGAAACTCATAGGTTTACCGATTATACCCAAACCTTCATATTGAACAAGTCCTTTAAAGGAAAGTTACTCAAATTTTATCACAACAGGGATATATATAGTTTTCAATTTCACACCAATGAAAAAAATTTACATGTTTGTAAATGTAGATCGTCCAGGTTGGTATAGTCCTGAGAAGGACTGTTTTTGTTGTTGTAGACTGACGTTTCGACATCCTTAGCGGTAGTCATCTTCAGAGTCAAAAGAAAAAAAAATTCATTGTTTACAATCGTAACAGGTAGCACTGCAAAATGTGCGTTGTAATCAAGTTAGTTTTCAGTTTTAGTTAGTTTGTAAATAAGTCAATTTTAGTTGGATTGAACATATTTTTTTAAAAGGTAATATTTTTCTATTCACATATAAGCCATGCAGAATGTCTAATTCTATAATTAAAATTTCAAAGATTAAAGCCCAAAAGTAAAAACTACATTTGATAGAGAAATAATTTTTTTTGAGGGGGGGGGGAGGTTCTACCTTTCACCTACACAAAGACATACACAATTCACTGGATAGGCAAATAAGATATCATATTTGTAAAAAGAACTGTAATAATTGAGATACTTATGCATTAGTAAAAAATGTTTATGTTTGTGCAATATGTTTTAAACGTCTTGCTATTGACAATGCATTGCAACCAGAAGAAATAGCTTTGGACAATTGAGTTAATTTCACTTGCTGGCATAATGCACAGGTGTCTTTATGTAGTTACTTTATGTAGCAAGATGCCAAAGTCTAAGCAGTCTTGCTGACTTAAGTTGTTGTCAATACTTCCACATAAAACTTTGACTTCATTAAGATTAAGAAATACTGGCACCCAAACTATTTTCTTTTCTTTTTGTTTCACAGCAATAATGTTTTGAACTCCAAGACCTCCATGAGCAAATCCACAATAATGCTGTTGCATTATGCCTTCTCATATCTTAATTAACAAAGAAATCCACTTGGCAAAAGTGATTCCATAACTATAGCACAATCCTTCCAAGGACATGTTCACTCCAGTTCCTACATGACCATAAAATTTTGTTATCAAAATGAATGGCTTTTCATCCCACAAATACCAATTAAGATTGGAAAACATGGATGAGATGGTAAGCTAAGAATAGTTCTTGCTTCCTTGATGACATCAAACTCAGATTTCCTCACTGCGACTTCCATTCCTCTAAACCAACATAACTCTATGCTATCAAAATAACCATTTGGGAATGAATATGTAGGCTTCTTTGATGAGGAACATAGCAATTCCGACCGATTGATACTCATGCAATCAGGTAATCCACATAGCATTTTATTCTCAGTTGAGCAATCTATGAAATGAGACCAGAAAATAAAGTTTGCTCCATGTCCAAGGTAGTTCTTCTCAAGAAAGAAAATCATCCCCCCTCCCCCCACCAAAAAAAGGTTCTCAATATTATATACAATTAACACCAAAAATTATGCCCTTCCTCAACTTATTCTTATCGTGTGCCTTTGAAATTTATGTTAATTAGGACTGCATGCAGCTATTTTAAACCATACCATTTTCCGTATGACGTTAACATTTTCAATGGCGTCGATGTGCTAATGCCAGAATAAAAGTAGACATGATTGCTATAGATTCGCTTCACCATAGGAAAACACTTTCGTACAATGAAACCACATTCTCGAACAGATATACTCTTATATTTATTTCTCAACACTTTTAGAACATCTGAGCATTTTACGCGACATAAAGAATCTTGATGAAACAGAGTTGACAACCTATAATAAAGTCATATATAACGATTAAGGACACAAGCGTATGGCAAGCCATTTTGGAAAAAAGGTGGTCGAAAAATTTCGTTGAGGCAATGTTGAGAAACACGTAATCATTGATTTGCGGATGGTAGTTCAGTAAAGCAAATATATTGTGAGAAAAAATTCCCGGTCGAGAAAAAAATCCCGGTCGAGAAAATCTCGGTCGAAGAAAAAATCCCGTCGAGAAAATCCCGGTCGAGAAAAATCTCGGTCGAGTAAAATCCCAGTCGTGACAACATAATTTATAGTTATACCATGGATCATAGCACTGTTCTTTGCCTTCAAGCAGCGCTCTGATATACTACAGAATGGCGTAATGGCGGATGTTCAAGATATTATAGCACTTTACAGTCTGTTTAGTTATTGCGTCGCGTGATAGTGAAGATACCAACGCGAAAGAATATGTATGTAGAAAGTTAGAGGGACATAAAGAGGAAGCTTTATTGCAGGTACCAGTGTTCACAACGTATTGTTGTGGCGGACGTGAATATTACTGGGAGTTTTATACAAGGACTTGTCAATGGAAAATAGTGGTTTACTGGATGTAGATAATGAAGCACATTTGTAGGTTCTTGAGATAGTGTTCTTGCCTAGAATAAATGCATCACTCCGAGAATTTGAAAGTCAGTGGAACTACCATGGACTTAGAACAATGGGTCATAGGTCACCATTACTCTGGCAATATTCCAAACCAAGTGGATGAGCTTGTTACAGACTTTACATTTTATGGAGTGGACTTCGATGGAGATATTCCTGACATTGAAACAGATAACGTTGTCCCAGAGGGCCAAGATTTTATTTGTCACCTGAACAGTGGTCCATTGTCTGTTCGTCAAATCCAGTGGCAAATGAGGTATTTCATGTTTCTATTATTGGCAGCATTACAAACACTTACTGAAATTTTGTGATGGTGATAGAAAAAGTTGATGAAACTTAGAAAACACAACATAAGAAATAGAACAAGAAAAAATGGCTGATAATGTTCATTTATATATAAGATACAACAATATTTTAGAATGTCTTCCTCTGTAACAGTCCTGAATAAAATTCTGGTCTTTATAAAATAAATTTAAACATAACAAAAAAGAACAAGTTTTAAGTTTATGGAGCAATAACATTTAATGTAATGCGCATATTTTTAAACAATGTCAAAAGCCCACATTTTATTACTCAGCAAGTTTGAGAAGTCCTCTGAAAGTTCATTATAGCTTTGATATGTGCTGGGAATTTCAAAGTAGGAGTGCATGTATGTGCAACAGGATAGTCCCTTCGGCCTTCCAATTTATTGAAAGAAATGCTTATTTTGTCACAAACCAGTACATTACTTCCTGTCGTAAACTGCAAAAATATCTTCTCTTTAACTTTTTGTTGGTTAAGTAATAAGCAAAAAATGTCCCTCTTGCTGACTGTATTGTATATTGTAAAATTAATAGTCTTATTGCTCTCGTAGATTTTTGACACAAGTTATTGGCTGCCCCATTGCACGCTGTTTTTTCTCTTTTTTAATACATATAAAGCTGTGTATATATAGTTTTTACTACGACTGAGGCCATGAAGTTTTGTAATTACATTAACACACAGCACGCAAACATTAGATTTTCATTTAAAACTGAACAACAAGATCAAATGCCATTTCTTGACATTTTACTAACAAAATCCCATCACAGCTGTAAAACATCTACATATCACAAACCAACATACACAGGACTTCTGATGAACTATTTTAGCTTTACACCACTTTCATACAAAACCGGACTTATACGCACACTAATCGACAGAGCATACAAACTTAACAATACGAACAATGGCTTTCAACGAGACATAAAAAACATCACACCACTCTTTTACGGAACTCTTTCCCACTACACTTTATTAACAGAACCGTAAAACGATATCTCGACAACAAGCAAAGAAACAACCTCAAACTAGACACCGAAACTCCTGTTACGACGATCACAACCAACGCAAATGAAAATTTCAAAATAACAACTCTATACTTCAAACTACCATGCACTCACGACACACACAGCGAAGACTTACAAACATTATGAAACACTTCTGTACAGATATTGACATTCGACTAATCTTCACATTCAAAATCAAAAGCTTTTCTAATTCAAAACCCAATCCCTGATTCAATTAAATCTATGGTGGTATATGAATTCAATTGCGCGGGATGTAATTCCCGATACATTGGCGAAATTTCGCGCCATTTATCCATCAGAATCAGGGAACATACAACAACAGACAAAAACTCTCACATCTACCGACACCTTCTTAAATCTCACTCATGTAAAACCAACTATTCACCCTCTTGCTTCAAAATCATCGACACTGCCGACACCTCATTTCTCCCTTAAAATCAAGAAGCACTCAACATTAACAAAACTAACCCTGACCTCAATGTTCAAGTTTTAAATTCAATATAATATTTAGTTTATAATACGCTGGACGCTCCACACTAATTTATCTTATTTCCTTATTACTGTTGTAATTTATATCATATTACTTTTGTATAAACCTTGTATCATTATTATTTTCACTTATGAACAGAAGATCATGGATGTCGAAACATGTCTATTTTAAAAAAACTTATCGTGTATATTAAATGCGCATTAGCAATAGTGCTTTAAGAAATTATGGAAGAAATTATTGTTTTTAATGTCATCATCTAATTTTTTCTTTATTAAACGTTCATATTTTGTTAAACGTAATTAAGTTTATTTTTCATTTGAGTTCCACACATGTTCAAGACGCAAAGAACTTCCTTTTTTTCCATAAGAATAACTAATAGCTATTAACAGCTAAGCCGTCTCCAGCTATCTGCAAGTAGACATTTAGCTTGGTTCAACTTAAAATTGAAGATTTCATCTGGAAGACGTACTTTCTCAAATACACTTTTTTCAAATATACTTTGCTCAAATAAACGTTTTAATGTAGCTAAGGGTTTTTCAAACTGTTTTGCGCGACCATTGGAGAGTATTGAAATGTTAATGAATGTGTAGTAATATCAATATGAATGAAAACAACAAGAAAAGTTATGTTTGTGGACAGCAACGTTTGGTATACTTTTGTCAACTTTATTATACGTATGCAGCATATACAGTCCAATTGTAAAACACAAGTTCAATTTGTTATCTTTAGCTGAAAACGATGTGTTAATGCAATACGAACATTTTATTTGTCTTGATGAAAACTTCCACATAAAATCAGGGACGCCGGAACGGCAAAAGGGCAGAAGGGGCAAGCCTTTGTGGAAGGGCACATTAGTGAAATATGCTAAAAGTAATCTCATATTGATAAACAGCAAAGAGATGTGCTACATGCAATATACTGTATAGAAGCACATGTCTGCAGTGTTGGTCGATAAATATTAACGATAGTACAACTATCAAACGATGTAACGTCACTAATTTACAATTTGTCATGTATTGTATTTTCCAAAATATTTAATTCTTCTTTCATTTCTCTGTGAAAACTCTTTAGCAATTACGTCTATTTCCACCATATCCATGTGTTGCTTCTGAATGTTGGAGAGCATAATATCATTCAGATGATTTCCTTCAGTGTTTGACCGCAGACATGTTTTGAGACGACGCATTACGCTGAACGTGCGTTCGCACGAGGCAGATGAGAGTGGCACTGTGTAGTATAGTATAATTAGTTTGTGGATCTCTAAGCACCTTTTCTTTGCTGACGGCATGGCATTGAATATCTCTGCTATTGTTCAAATACGCGTGACTTCTGTTATTTTTTTCTTCTGATCCGCGTTGTAAAGCCCAAGAATGGTGGGAAGATCATCAAGCTGCTTTCTTAGAGCATCTTTATCAATCAAAGAATTGCTTAATCCATCTGAAGATACTCCTCTTTCTTTCATAGAGTTAAGTAACAGTTTCTTGATACATTTGATCTGGAAAAGATCGTCTTGTTCAGATCGCGATCCTAGACCTGAGATGATTGCATCAATGGCTTGGTAGTACGAGCTTCGCATTGGTGTTATATTCGCACTGTTGTAAACTCAGGCATCTGTTTTGTGATTCACAGTCTGAGGCTTTTTCAGTATTGACAGTTATTACAGTGTCAATTCCGCTTGTTGAAGCAGAATCAAAATCATGGCCTGTGTTTCCTTTTGCAAACAGCGATGTTATTTTAGATTGACCTGGTTTAGCCGCTGCTTTCGCTAATGGTTTTGATGAATCTTTTTAACATCTTTCTGCTCTTGGCATTGCAGAAAAAGCGATAAGATGCAATAAATATTCCTTTCAAAATCATCAGTGTTTAGGTGACTGAGCCATTTATGCCAGCAGATGTTTACCATTAAAATATCTTTGCTATACGTCATGTTCCTGGTAGTTTTTGGTTTTAATAATATTAA